CCTCAAGGTCAAGGATGGCCAATTTATTTTTAACCATGTTTATAGGAACAATAATAAGAAAAAAAACTGATTACTTAACTAGCTATTCTTCTACTATAAAGGAAAATGTTTGCCTCTTTAATCATCCTCCTCCTACTAGCTCAAAGGAGGAAGACGGTGAAAGAGGATGGACATGTTTTTTGTTTTAAGTTTAGTTTGTACTTTATTCTGTTGTGGTTATTGTATTTCAGTATTCATTCCAAAAAAAAAAATGATTTGGTTTGATAAAGACAATTTTCATTAAGTGTTTTATGTTTATATATGATGCTAAAATTATTTTTAGGAGCACTGGTGGGTAGGGCAATATCCCCCAATATAATTTTTTTCAGAAATAAAATTATTCTTTTGTTAGAAATCAATCTTTTTAGTTATCTCTTGACTTAAAATAGTTGTGGAGCACAAATACATTAACAATAAAGCATTCTAATTTATTTTGTCACCGTTTTACCACTAAAATTGAGCACAATTTTTGTCACTATCATTGCACTTTCAACTCCTTTGACTCATATTAAATGATTAAAATGAGTCAAAATATCTTATTATCACTGTATGTGGGTCCTATAACTATTCTATATAAGTAGATAACTGAAAACATGGCAAGTCTCTTATGGAAGGGCGATTTTATTCCTAAAAAAATTATTTAAAGAGATATTGCCCTAGCCTTTCATGCATGGTGCCCAGTATTCCTTAAAAAAAATTTAGAAAAAAAATAATTTTAACCCTTTATATATATAGGAGGATCGGCTTGATCAAGAAATTAGACTAAAAAATGTTAATTGTCGACTATGAATGTTAAGGCTCAGATAAACTTCGAAATTATTTTTAAGGACCTTGCCCCAACCCTCCTTTTCAAATGTCAGGTATTCTGAAAATGAGTTTTAAATTTGAGAGTGACACTTATATTTTTTTTTATTTTATTATTTGATATCTTGAAAAACTTAGAGTATTATCATATTATGATTAGATTAATCCAACCATTGTTGTGGGGGACCATTGTTAGAAACAGTGGCCTTATAGATACCTTAGAAATGTTTTTGATATTTTATTTAATATGACTCCATATTCTAGGACCAGCTCAAGGTACTTTGAAATTAAATTAAATATTAAATTTAAAAGTGATCTTGGGATAATTTTAATAAAGGATCTCTGCAAAGGTTTGCTTTCAAATCAGGATTAATAGAACCTAAAAATATATTGCAAGGCTAAGGGATTGAATTAAAAATATGTTTTGATAGGAAATATGCTAAAATGCCCTTCATTTTTAATAACAAATTAGGATTTTAATGAGTATATTTCATATTTTAATAAGTCAACGAGATTAAAGGTGAGATGGTTATTCTTGTGTAAATAAAATCAAAACATACATATATAATCACAGAATTTATCATGTCCTTTAAGCATTATTTGAGGGTAATTTAGATTGTAAATTACCAAAAAAAGAATATTTAAATTAATTAATTACTAATATTGAATAATCTCTTCTACCAAAAAAATTATGGGAATTTTTTCACTCTGCAAAAAGTTAAACTCATTAATCATATTATTAATTATTTTTATTTTCTTTTAAATTAATATCAAAACTTGGTGATAAAAAAAATTAGTATCAAAGGGTCTCATTGTTTGACAGGGAGAACGATAACAAAGTCAGAATTTATGATAGCCAAATTCTTGATAAAATTTTTCTAAAAAATAAATTTCAAATTGAGAATTATATTTATAATTTACATGTTTTATTTTCACTTAAAATTTCTGAATTTATAATAATTTGAATCAATATTTATAATTAATTTTTAAGTAAATAAGTAAATTATTTCTTAAACTGTAGGTCAAATAATACTATAAACTTTGAATTTATTTATTGTACAACTTATTTTTTTAATTTTTGAAAATGGTGCAATTTGTCCTTTGTAATTAATAAAAATTAATTTTGACTATTAATTGATTAGAAAATGAGAGAAAATGACCAAAAATTACAATAGAGGATCCAAATTTTACATATAAGAACCCAAAAAATTATAGAGAAAAACAAAACATTTTTTGATCTTTTTTTGTCATTTTTGATGTCTTGTTTCATCATTTTCTAATCAATTAATAGTTAAAGATAATTTTCGTTAATGGTAAGGGCCATGTTACACTATTTTTTAAAGTTGAAAAAATAATTTACATAATAAATAAGTTCAAGATCTATGATATCACTGGATTTAAAGTAAAGTTGGTAATTCAGGAGGGTTAGATTTGTTTCAGGTTTGGATTAATTTGGGCCGAGCTTATTCAGATTAGGCTCGAGATATCATACCTTTTTAAAAAGCTCATATAATTAAGCCCGATCTTAACTTTTTTTCAGTCAGATTCAGACTTATTCGATTGGACTTAAAGTATTTTATCCTTTTAAAAAAAACTCATATAATCAAGCTAATTCCAACCTTTTTTGAATAGGTTTGGATTGACCTATCAGGCTTGACTTGAATTATCGGATCTAATTTAAAGTTAAGAAGGTAATTTGCCTATTTATCTTTAATTTTTTAAAAAAATTTATCAAAAATATAATTCTGGAATTTTAATATCACTCGCCCAGCTGTCGCATCAGATTGCACATAAGAAAAAGGGATTAGGGGTCTATGAAAAAAGCCAGCGAAGGATGCGTCCACATGAAGACGGGCGTGTGAATTGGTACAATACAACCCCGCCTCTTTCAAATAATCGACCAAGGAAAAGAAGGCCAAGGACGGACCCACGATTTTATAAGTGTGTGCGCACATCGCGCTCACACGAGAGTCTGTGGCGACAGATGTACCGCCTCACGTGAAAAGCCACATCTAATCTCATCACCCTTCACGCAAATCCCAACTCCATCAATCTACTATTATCCCGGTTTTGAGCTTCCCTTTAATATTTGAGCTTTCACGCATTCTAAGATATGTGATTTTTTTGTGCTTAATATTACTACTTCCTACATTTTAGTCTCTATTTTAAACTATAAAATATTTTTAAAAAATATTTAACACTTTTTTAATAAAAATAATGTTTTTAATATAAAAATAATTTTCTAATAATACTTTTAATATTATCTTTTTAATGTATTTTCTCTTTTTTGATTTTTTTTAACCAATAAAATATTAAATGAAAGATATTTTTAAAGATTTATATTTTTATTTTAAAAAATAAATTTATAAAGTATATTTAATGAGCTTTTATTAATATGTGTGATGTTATTTAAAAATATCTTACAATTTAAGATGAAAATAGTATATTATAAGACACATTTAACTATTTTATCAAAACTAAAAAGAAGTGATTGAATTATTAATTCTATTAAAAAAAGAATAAACTTTTAATTTTATCCATATCGAAATAAAAAAATTTAAATTTGCATTACATTATCTCTCATATTTAGTAAGTTTAAATAGTGGGTAATATTAAAAAAATATAATTAATATCTCATCATGTGCATTATATTAATAAAACAATCTCTTTTAAAAGATGCCTTATAATAATTAAGCACGATGGGGAGTATTTGTTTTATTTTATTTTTTTAGTCAAATTGTTTTATTTTTATCACTTTTTTCTCTTTATATATATATATATATATATAATTATCTGATTGAATTAAATCCGAATTTTGTCGGTTCTAATTATGAGGTAACTTTTTTAAAGTCATTTCTACGTTTCAAACGTATCTGAATCCGACATTTTGCACTTAAACAATTATAATCTCTCCTTCACTAGGACCTATGAATATTGGTTATTAAAGGTAACAGTCAAATAATATTTAGCTTCGCAAGTTCAGCTACATTTCCTTGCCGGGTTTGGTAATGCTTGCTAGCTAGCTGCAAACAAAGTACGATTTCTTCTGAAGGGTTCAACGTAACAGAATCGTGTAGTGGTAGTTGTACTTGGGTTATAGAGTTGAATCATTCATAACCCACCTTCACAGTGTTCTAAAGTCTCTTATTCATTCTTGTGATAATTTGTTCCACCTTCTTGTTTGTTATCATGCAATAACAATATTCTGTAAATATATAATTTCTTTCTTAGTATTTTGTGCGAGCCTTTTGTATTTGCATCAAACTCAAGATAATTATTTAAAGATATACCCCAATAATCAACGACATTAAGCTCGTGCAATTTCATATTTATGCCCTTAAATTAAGGCAACGTCTTCCAATTCGAGTTTTATATATGAAAAATAATTTCCATTGCCCATCGACAAAGTTTTATTCGATGTCATATTATCAATGAATCTCCTCAAAACTAGTTGATATTACTGTTTAAAAAAAGACGCCGCCCCATTGTACTGTTTAAAAAATGATGCCCTCTAGTTAATTGCTATATTTTAAGAAATTATTTTTTTTTTCAAAATGATATTAAGCAGCAGGCTTGAATCGAAATACTTGAACCTTTTTTGACCACATAAAAAAAGAATGCAATGGTTGAAAGAACTAAGCAGACGTGGCATAGCACAGACGTGGAGGCCCCTTATCTTTAGAAAGCCCTCGGTTCAATTATTTAGCCCTGACCGGTTTTTTCTTGCCCGTCTAAATTCACTTGAAAAAGAGCAAGGAGGAGTGGGTACATAATACATTCACATATTTGTTTACATGAATTTTAATTAATAAATTGCACAAAAATTTAAAAACATAAAAACATTTTCGATTTTAAATGATGCTAAGAATTTGCACAGAACAATTAAAATCTGAAAAAAGGATTTACAAAATGTTCATTTACATGACTTATCTTTTTATTTTTAATCTGAATTAATTCAGATGGTATTACTAATATTTTTCAAAAAAAAAAAAAACGAGGGAGGATGGTAAATAAGACAAAGAGGTTGGGCAGAAGTGTATATAAAATTTGGACAGAATTACAAATTTAAAAATTGTACTGTGACTCTGTGAGACATTATTGATGAAGGGGTGCATTATGGCTGAGAAAAAAGGAGCAAGAAAACATTCAGCTGGAGTTGCTATAAATAAGAGCAGGGATTCAGGGCAGAAGGGCTCTTGAGTTGTCTGGAGCTTGGAGTACTCTGTTGTGTTGGGCGTGAGCCTAATAAGACACACTCTCCCACTCTCACTCTCACACACTGCCAATCTCACCTTTCCCTCACTTGCCGTTTCAAAATTCCATTCTCTCCCATGGATTCTTTCAACCTCTTCTCCGCCATCACCAAAACCCTTCGCATTCTCGAGCTCTGCCTCGCCCTCCTCCTCCTCTCCTGGCTCCTCCCTCGCCTCCCTTCCGCTCTCTCCTTCCTCCGCCGTTTCTCTCTCTTCATCGCCAGCCCTCCCTTCGTCTTCTTCCTCTCCAACGCCATCATCGCTGCTCTCCTCGCCAAATCCCGCCGATTCTCCCACCACGACGCCGTTTCCTACGCCCATCCTCAAATCTGCCTCGACTTCCCCAACGACGGCTCGCATCGTACAGCTCCTGCACCCGAAGCCGATCCTCTGTTGCCTGTCGCCGAGGGGGAGGTGGTGTATCAGGACAAAGAGATTGTCTCCGAGACGAATTCCACAGATCGTACCTTTCAGAAAAAAGCTGACATCCACGCCAGTAAGGATACGGTTTCAGAAGCAGGACTGGATTCTGATTTTCCCAAGGTTTATCGGAGGACTCAGTCGGAAAAGTTGAAGGAGGAGAGTCCGGAGCAGATGCAACAGAAACTCCGGCGATTGGAGACGGAGAATCGGAGGCAAAGCATGTATCCTCAAGATAAGCTGAGCAATGAGGAGTTCCAGCGCACGATTGAGGCGTTCATTGCGAAGCAAATGAGATTCCTGAGGGAAGAATCCCTGGCCATTGTTATTCAGAACCAGAGCTAAATAGTTCGCTGATCAGTTAGTGATAGAAACTAGAAACTGAAAATGAGAATGGGAAGTTCAAAATCTGGATATCTAGTGTACTTGCTTTCCCTTTTCCTTTAGCTCTCTTGCTGGGGTAAGACAGACAATTACTCCTTGGTCTTAATGCCTTCCACCTATTCCCACTGCATCGTACAGTGTTAATTTTCTCGATCTTATTGAATACCGAAATTAAATATAAATAATTCTATTCATTTTCTGCATTCTGTTCGTGAAACGATATCTTCATCCACCAAGTTTAATTTATTTCTAGTTTTACTGCTAGTCTTTGCCAAACTACAGTAAGTGTGCGAAGACCATTGGACGCATAATGCTAATTGAATAACATGCTACAAGTACTATAGAACCATCCATTTCTGTGAGGAATATATTCCAACAGACATGTGGTTTAGTTGATCAATTAATTAATAACAAACAAAAAGGACTGGAATCGATGCCTGTACTTTGATCTCTTGGATTATTGTTGCTATTACGACCAAAAATAATTCTGGAATTCTTGTTTCCAGGTTCGATCATATGTGAGGAATAAAATGTAATGGAATAGAATTGTATTCCTCACATAAGACGTGAAAGGCTGTTGCTTGATTTGATTCAGGTAGCATTACGAAAGCATATATATTAGCCGTATGAGGATAATATTTTCATTTCTCTTTTAGGCGTATTAATTACTTTAGAAAAGTGTGAACTAGGCGCGATTTCATCATACTAATGGTGAGGATGGAAATAATCCCAATTATAGTAAAAGCTTCATTACTAATGAAGGGAAAATTTTTCCTCGCCCACAGATTGGTGCATAAATTCCTTATGCTGTTGAATCTTCCAGGTACGTAGACTTATGGAGGGATCACGAGGCAACTGGTTTCTGGTCACTCTGGGGTCTAATTATTATAGGTTTCATTTCAACAAATATATGACCTATTTATCTAGATATTATATTTTTTTCAAAAAAGAAAAGAAAAGAAAAGTGTATATTATACAAGAAAATAAAAATACATGTGATAAGGCTTATTTTTGTTTTCTTTTCAAAATTTTCAAAAAAATATAATGCTCTAAAAAATGGGAACTCTAATAAATACTATAACCTATACATAATACCATATAAGTTCTAGTAGCAGCGAAGATTTAGTGAAGTTAACTTAGGTCAGGCTTAGCAAAATTACCATTATAGGGAGAATGATAATTCATGAACATCAAATGGAATGTGTTCAAAGGCATAAGGCAATAATTCTAGATGCGGACTCTGTCTCGAATAAAACAAACACTTGGGATTACATATTGGAAGAATTTGTCCAAAGTCAGTGCAAGAGATATTTGAGTGAAACACAAATTCTTCAACTATATCAATTCATGATATTTTTGCATGTATTCCATTGTTGTATGCTTCCAAATTTGAGTAAATGGTGACTAAAGTTACTTTAGTTAAGTTAGAACTTTAGTTTTTACCCTGTATCAATTGACTAATTAAATAAAATATCTCAAAAGAAAGTGACAGAAAAAGTAAACAATATTTGTGTATGTGTGTGCAGCGTGTATATATTATTTTGATGCCCTCCCTCTTCTTTTATATCCCCGCCAAAATATAGTGGATGGATTCTTTATTTCAAAAGTATCATTAAACTCCTTCATATTGAATTTTAATATATGTGATAATTTTTTTCTCTGATGTATGTTTATTTCAAAATCATCATGTTCGTTGGTGGGATTTGATAAATGATCATGTAAGAATTAATAATTTTCTTTTTTTAATTTATCATTATTAAATTTTCCTTTCTGCATATTTTTTCAAGATTATTATTAAATTTTCCATGTCATGATATTAAAAATAAAACAATAATTTTGTATCAGAGTTTTTTCCCAAAGCAGATAATACTATCATTAATAAGAATTTTGTGTCAGAGTTAATATAAATATGTACACCCACATAATAAATTCCAACAAATCACATAATTTAAAAGCCATTTACATTCCGACTCCTTTCCAAGCAATTCATGGAAAAAAAAAAGTTTGATTGTAATCTCACATTACATAAAAAAAAACAAGAAAAATTTATTTGATTCATATAACTAGCTTATGAAGCTGGAGCTCCATATAATTCAAAAAAAAAAAACAAGAAAATATTATTGAAGATAGTAATTGATTAGTCTTGTCAACGAGGCCTAGTTTTTTCACGGCCATCGGATCATGAGTGGCGGTTCCGTCGGCAAAAGGGTTCTCCGGTGGATAATTAAACACCAATGATTGTAAAATGATGTGATCATCATTGTCAAACCGAAGTGACCCAATTCTTCTTTCTTGTCTCCCTGGCTAGGAATTGACACTTTCACTTTTTGTCCCGCTGATTATTCTCCATAATCCCCATTCCTAATCCTCGTTTATACTTTTTAATGATTATATTCATTTCTCAATTAAACATTTCCATCTTCCCGAAAAGCTCTTCTTTTCTCCTCCTTTTCATCTTTAGTCATCATTCCCTCCACTTCTAATCTTCTAATCACTGTTTCGGCCAAAAGTATGTTTCCTAACCAAACGAGCCTATTTAATTTCTTCCCCATTTATTTCTCTTTTCCATGCCAAATGGCTTGGCACTGTCTCATTGTTTTGTTTAGTGGTGGCTAGCAGGTACCGAATCATTTTAAAAATAAAAATAAATTATGTGTATTTTTAATTCTATTGAATTTAATTTACAAGCTTTTAAATTTTTAAAATTAAAACAAACTTTAATCCATTTGGAGTGACTCAGGTGGCGACAGCAAAAAGGGGAGGGATTAGTGATTTAGGATTTAAACCCTTTTAATGTATATAAAAAAATATTATCATAAAATTTTCGTTTTGTATTGTAAATAAATTTGAAGGGAAAATACATTTGTAAGTTCTTATAATTTTTCTCAATTTTAAATTATGTCCTTGTAATTTATTTTATTTTAATTGAGTCTTTATAGTATAATCAATTAAATTTTTTAACTCTTGAAAATTAAAATCTTTTGAGTCTTTTCTTTAAAAGACAAAGTAAAGAACTTTATATTTTTATTAAATGATTATATAACATTAGAAATAATTACATAATTTTTATAACTCAAAATTTATATAAGGATAAATAAGTAAATTATATCCTGAACTTTATGTTCAATAGCACCATAGATCTAAATTTGTTTATTGTGTAAATTTTTTGCTCAACTTTTAAAAATAATATAATATAATTTTTGTCATTAACAAAAGTTAATTTTAAACATTAATTAACCATAAAATAATGAAAAAGGACTTCAAGAATTATAGAGGAGAACCAAAAAAAATTACAGAACATAAGCAACAAAAAATTTTTGGTTATTTTTTGTAATTTTTATGTCATTTTCTAGTAAATTAATGGTCGAAATGAACTTTATTAATAATAAGAGTTAGATTACATTGTTTAAAAAGTTAAAAGAATAATTTATATAATAAACAAGTTCAGAATCTATTGTGATATTGAACCTAAAGTTTAGGGGATAATTTATCTATTTACCCATTTTATTTATTAAGATACATCCAAAATGACAAACATATCATGTTAAACACACGTAATGGATGCACAAATAGTCTTGCAAGATATCTAAAGCCCTTCAATTATTAATCATAACTGAAAATCTTGAATTATTACAATTATTTTGAACGCATAAAATAAGAAAGGGAGGGAGTGATTAATGTCATTGTCATGTATCTTGATGGTATCTTGCTATAAAATGGGCATTGAGGGGTTTAATTTAACCTTGAAAAGATTAATAATGGAGGGACTACCATTGGGCGTTTAGTAGCTTTTTTCCACACTTGTCTGCCAAACTTCAAGTACCTCTTACATGCCTACAACATCCGTGGACCCATCCCATTACAAAATCTCTGTATTCCAAACCCACTTCTCTTAATAAACTACATAAAAACAAGACCTTGTCATGATTATGTTTTAACAATCAAACAAAAGTACCATCAAATTACAGATCCTCTATCCACCCACACCCACGCGCATTATCAGCTCCAGATGCTTTACCTTATACCATAGGTTTCTAAAGATGCTATGGAAATTACCCAAAACTGCAAGAATATCAAGTTCTCAAGAGAGTACTTGTTAAACCCAAAGGAACTGATCATAGGAAATGATCATGTATGAGGCAGAGTGAGGAACCAAGAACAGGGGAGGCTACAGGGAGAGCCGGTAATGGAAAGCTCGGAAACATGATTGTGAACCACAGTTTTGAGTTCCAATGCTTGTTTGTTATAAGGGAAAGGATACGAACTGGGGAGGGTACAGGTAAAGAGGGACCTAAAAAGGCAAGGAAATTCAATTCAAATTTGATAGACCGAATAGGAAACACTGTCATGTGCACAGAGCTACGAGTCTATCACAAAATTAGGACTGAACAAGCAAGAAAGGACCCCCTTTGAGCTCTGCCAGTACAAAGTCACAGCACATCCATTTACAACTAGGTCTTGGATTCTGCATTCTACGATCAACTCTCTCAGGTTATGTTGTACGGTTCTTCAAATAATGTCGACCCTGTTAAAGTCCCAACTTGAATTAATTAATGTGACGTAAATCCATGTGTGTAAGATGTGGTTATTATTTTTTCTGATCCCTTACCTGCTGATTCAAAGTGATTCACACGCTACTGCGCATTCTGGTTCCTGGCCCTTCAAATCAATAGTCATTTCTTGCGATCCATTGACCACAAAAAGGGCAAAAACTAGAGGTGGTAATGACCCTCAATGAAAAATAGCTAAAGATTTTGAAAATTAAAATTTCTATTAAGCACTGTAAAAAGTAAATTACTCCCTCCCTTTTAATTAATTTATAAAATATCTTGAAAATAAAAATATAAATTTTTAAAAATATTTTTTATTTAACACTTTATTTATGAAAGGGTTAAGGTAGCCCTCAATATTATCTCCAGATCTTAAATTATTTATTAATGTAATTTCACCCTAATACTTTTTTATTTGGGTACAATTTCGTCTTGCTGTTAAAATTTGACCAAGTTGACCATTAGTCAATGATATATGACCATTATATGCACATTTGATAGCTACGTGGCATACTTTAAAATTTTAAAATAAAAAATAAATAATACTCCCCTAACCACACCATCAATCTTCTCCCATCACGTAGACAAGTCTTCCCCACTCAGTTGTCCTCTACAAAATTGAAAGAAAAAATAAGACCCAAAGC